CTTTTTGAAATGTCACTACTGATTTTTACGTCACTTTTAGATGTCATTGTACCGGAAAACGTGTCACTATGTCGCCGGAAATTTTTCCGACAAATTTTCCCCATCAAAATTTTCGCCAGAAACCATCAACCCGCCGCCTCGACACCGCCGTCATCGCGTGAGACAGCCTACAGCCCCTTACTCCAACCCTAGCCTCCTCCACTGCTACCCCAGCCTCCTCCCCTGAACCCCAGCCCCCTCCCCTGCACTCGCCCCCTCCTATCCTCAGATCCCCTCCCAGCCTCCCAACACGTATTTCTCCATGTAAATTAGTACATACATGTCTATACATATAAGTAATATAACCCCAAAAAATGATACAAGTAATTCAGTAAATAAAAGTTCAAGTCATGTCCAAAGGTAATCCCAGGAAGAAGACTCTCACAGACAAAAGCCATTCCAAGTTTCCAACTACGAACCGTTGGGGAAGATAGACTGGGTGCCGTTGTGGCAGTACTATGCATCAATTTCAGTGATTGTTTCCATTATGCTTTGGCAGACTGTAGGGGAAAACCTGGAAAAGGGAAATTAAGTCCGTCCTGGACTCGGAGTATCTGGAATTTCAATTCGATCGAACTGAAATTGAACTGGGGTAAGGGCCTCTTACATCCGAGCATCCTTGCCTTCGCCGCATTCCAAAGCCTGATCGAAATCTAGACCGATGAAGGGAGAAGAAAATGAAAGGTCGCCGATGACGACGACACGAAGCACACCAGGTGGCGGTGGAAGCGAGCGGCGGAGGAAACAAATCGAATGGAAAGCAAACCAGATCTATTCTTCCAGCTTCTGGAATGGAAGGGAGGGTTACGAACGAGGTCACGACGACCCCAGGTTTGGCCGGCCTAGCGAAGATAGCGGTGTTGCAGGTACATGCGATGGAGATGTTGTGGATCGGAGTTCCAAGTTCGTTGGATGCTTCACCGTTGGTTCGATGATTCTTCGCTGGGAGTGAAGATGGATGACTTTCTCCGGGGAAGATGGGACGTGAGAGATGAAGGACTGCTCCATATGTTTTAAAAATGAGTCATATTTCTGGAAAATGTAAAAATTGTTATATTTTTGGAAATGCAAACTCTAGTAGTAATATAGAGGTCATTTATTCAATTAATAACACATCCTCATCTTTCAAAAAATAAACTCATCCTTTCTAGATGTCCAGACCAGTTCACCAGTCTTTATATAAGCCCATATCTATCAGCTCAATAAACATTCACTGTTTATATATATATATATATATATATATATATATATATATATATATATATATATATATATATATATATATATATAGATTTAGGTTCATGTGAGAAAACCATCTTAGGAGAGAAATGAGAATGATTTATAGCCATTGGATCTAGGATTTTCTTAGCACTTCATTAAGGGCAAATAAGAGAAATTGGCAACATATTAAAATCACACGGTTACTTCTCTACAGTCTTGAAATTGTTTCCATAACTAACTCCCTATAATCTTGCATGACCAATCATCCTATTTGCTTTTATTGATTTATGATTTTTGACTGAGTTTTTATCAAATTTCTTTTATCTTATTTGATTCTTCCATACCTTCATCATTCTCAAGTTCGGTGTCACGGAGGAAGACATCCGTTTTTCATTTTTTGTAAAAAAAACTTGATCATTTTATCACTTTATTTAAAATAAATCTTCTACTTTGTTTTACAATGCATTTCCATTTATTATTATGCTTTATATTTTATTTAAAAATTGCATCAACATAACTGTGTATGTTGCACCTCTTTTGTATTATAACTGCACTGCAAAGCATTTTCATTTTCAGCATTTTCATTTACCCCAGTGCCGCAAAGGCTCCCACCTACGGTGGGGTAAGGGGTGGTCGGATGTACGCAGTCTTACCCCTGTATAACTGCACAGCAAAGCCCGTGTAAAAATTTAGAAAGTGTGAAACAATAATGCACCCCTCTTTATATTTAAATGCACATGTTTAAAGTGCATTTCATTTTAGGTAAAAGTATTATTGTAAAATTTTAGAAAGTGTGGTATACTAGTGCACTTTTGTACACTTAAATGCACATGATAGCATGCTCATGTTGTTTTACACCCGTGTTTATTTATTTCATTTTTTGAAATCAATTTGATTAGAGAGATGTATGGAAGTGCACAATGGTATGCGTAAAGTGCAGTAACTATTATAGTAAGTGCAAGCCAATGTCATAAATGTGCAATTTAATTACAAAGTGCAAATTAGTACAATAAAGATGCTATTTCTCTTTAAATTTTGTTTGTTGATGAATGTCGTTGATTTAAAAAAAAAAGTGCATTTAAAAAAGTGCTTACAAAGAGTTTTTTCAAAAAAAATAAAAAAAAAAATAACTCATTTACATAATATTGCGAATAAAAGTGCAATTATTTAATATTGGAGTGCAAATCAACAAACTCATATTGATTGCACTATGGGAATATTGCATATAAAAATAAACGGATATGACATGAATAATGATGCCCATTTTAAATATATTTTTCCCAATTGACGATTAAAATTATATGAGTGAGAATTAAAAAATGGAAAGAAAATTAAATAATAAAGAAACATTTATAAGAACTAATCTTGCTAATTGTGTGGGAGTTACTTCCGTATTAATGGTTATCCTAAAAAGTAGGATTGCTTCCTATTTAGATCACTCGTGCATGATAACTAGTCTAATTAATTTTACCATTGTCCCCATTAATTAATACCAAGGGTATCTTGCCTTTTTTACAACTTGATTAGTCCGAATTACATGGCTCTTTTTCTACAATTTCTAAGCCATTAGATTGAGAGGATGGAAGATCGGATTTCATTCTCACTTCTCTCCTGGGACTCCATTCTCACCGGAACCCTCCCCTATATATAAATATATATATATATATATATATATATGTATGTATATATATGTGTATATATATATATATATGTATGTATGTATGTATGTATGTATATATCCCAGCCCCCCCCCCCCCTCATCGGAACTAGGGGGGCGAGCCGGTGCCGGCGCTCCCCCTTCTCCGGCGGTGGTTCTGTATATATATATATATATATATATATATATATATATATATATATATCAGCCCCGGTTCAGAAAGTATTCATATATTAAAGTGGAGTCGCTATTTGAATGTATGAGTTGTGATAGTTCAAATGGTAGGGTGGAGGTTGAGAGAATTCTGTCTACCTAAATGGCCCGGGTTTAATTCTCATGAGCAACAATTTTTTTTTTGCTTTCTCCAGTATTGCTTCTTTAGACTTTAGCCCATTTGGTAATTATTTATGTTCAATTAAATCACTCTACGATGTAATGTTGTTTAAATCACACTTTTGAATTTCTATATCTTTTATTTTAAATTATCATTTCTTCAATTCAAATTAATTTTAATCATTTCTTCTTCTAATAATGACATATACGGACGTTGTCATTTAATGTCAAGAACAATTCTAAAACTACTCTAAGTTAATATAAGTATTTACCTTTTGCTTAGTATAATTGCATTTTTATTTGAAACACACTACATATACATATATATAAGTTTCGGATCAAATAAAAAGAGTTCTTATCATGAAAATTGATCGAGAATAAATCTTGTGCATTTAACCTGAGATCCGATGAGTCAAAATCAGTCAACAATGCACTATATTTTATCAAAAACTCGGTGACAATTTGATAAATAAATCAAAATTTTCTCTCATTGTGAAAAAGTGTAAAATAAATATCTACTAGTGTACCAAAACGAGTAAAAAATGCGCTCGTTCTCATTTTTCACGGGAATAACTCTTTTTATTAGAACCTCACTCTATATGTATTAATAATTATTTTTCACTCTTTTTTATTTTATCCTAATAAAAAATTGTTTTTTTAAAAAAAATATAAGAGCACCTCCTCAAATTATTGTCTGATTATGCCGTTGCATTCACAACCAACCCCACTCAATCCCCAAAACCTAACCACAGCATTTACATTATACGTAGTATGTAATGCTCCTTTAGCCTTCAGACGTTGCCATCGATCCGTACACCCCAAGAACTGTCGCTTTATTTGATAACTTCGCAAAGTGGAGGGGGATATGATATTGCCCTTGTTTACCTTCCGAACTGGTTCCGCCTCAAATACATCATTATTGTCTGTCATGAGTGCTATCTGGTGTGGGAATGGTTCTTTAGCCGACCATCTCCGTAATATTTTTGGTGAAGATGTGTATATGTAAACTTCGTATATCTGTTTTTACTTTTGAACTCTCTACCTTTGGGGTATATACCCTATTTACAACCCACTTTTTAATTATTCACACCTAACGAATTACTCCTTATAAATTTGACAACTTTCTTTTTTTGATTGCCCCTTATAAATTTGTGGCTCCTATGCATAAATCTCTATCACACAGTTTTTACTTTATTAACACAGTTTTTTACTTTATTATTATACGTGTCATTCAAACTTGACAATGTGACGTATTAAAATTTAAAAGTACATACTAAAGCTTAGCCTTGCGAGAATATAAAAGAACTGCATATTTCTGTGAATGTCCTTGTTCTATAAAGAATTTATTTTCTTTGATCTCACAACTTCATTTCTTTGATTCTTTTCTTCTACAATTGCAGCGTTGACATGTATTGGTATAGATTTGCCCTCCAGAATGTTATAAATGATTACATTGGACAAATACGGCTCACCTTGAAAATGAAACCTATCAGCAACCATTTTTTAAAGTGTTAATAATGTATATTATTGGTATGGGTACTTCAAGGCAAATGCTGGTGCGTGTTTAAAATACGGTGCAGGAAAGAATATATACCTCTTAATTATGAAAGCCCAAACTCTAGTCTCTCTTCTTCTATAAGATGTGCCGAAACCTCAAACATCCTTACGCGATAAGGCCCTCACCCTGGATGCTCAGCTGAGTTGGGGTGATCAATTGATAAATACTCCATAGCATGTATAAAATTCCCAGTTTAGAAGTAAAACTTATCAAATATGCAAAAGTAGAACTCCTATCTAACAGTGTAGTTTACCATATGGATATTATAAGTAAGGGACAGAAATGCCTTTAATGAATAGTCAAACTTATTTAGTAAAAATACAAAATATAATAATAAACTAATTAATTCTTTACAAAACAAGTCAACAACGTATTTTTCCTTCCCCAATTACAAGTTGCCGCCGGCACCATCCAGGGGCAATACCTGCACCAGTAACCGCTGCCCCTAACCACCGCCTACGCCGCCACTTGATGCCGCCGCCAGACGTCGGACGTTGCCGCCGCCGAATGCCGCCAATCTTTGCCGTCGTTGGACATCGCCAATCTTCACCGCCGTCGGACTCCGCCGGTCTCCGCTGTCGCTTGACGCCGCCACCACCACCATCTTTGCCGCTGCCTTGTTCCAGGGTCACCCCGGCCATCTATAATTCCGATGCCGCCATCTCCATCCCCTAGCCTCAGATCTGAAAATTAAGAATGTTGTAGAATGACAATCTGATACTATTTTTATTTTTTATTTTTTTTACTCTAAAATTTTAAATTTAATGAATTTGGATTTGAAATATATATAATAATGTTTATTTCTCGAAAATGGAAAAATTATTTTAAAAATGCCATGTTTTTCAATATGTTTGGCAAATAATGCCATTTTACATTTATGAATGTTTTTCAAATTGTTTGGCAAATAATGTCATTTTACATTTATGAAGTCGACTTTAATTTCGTAAAGATGACAATTACATGGATATGTTAGGCAAATAATGTCATGTTTTACAAATGTTCTTAATGCCATAAAAACTCTTTAAGATGACAATTATGGCAATTTCAGATTCAAAGTAGAAAATAATTTGTACAAAAATATTGACTGAAATTAAATGTAAAAAATTATATTCTATAATGTAAAATATAAATTAAAAGTCAATATTTCAAAAAATAAATTAAAGGAAGAAAATGACTTTTATTCAACCGAACTAAATCATAAAAGAAATTGAAAGTCAATCTTTCAATTGGAAGAGAAAATGAAAAATCAATAATATAAATACTTAATAACAGATCATCTAGGAAAGAAGAAAATTAAATAAAAACAATATCAATTGGTCCTAATCAAACAACAAGCCACCAACATCTCTATGAAAACATAAAGTTCCATAGAGATGCATCGCCGATTGAATTCAAAGAAGAGAAAACGAAGAAGGGGAATTGAGAAGAAAAGAAAGAGGAGAGGAAGAAGAAGAATGAAGAGAAAGAGATCGAAACTTACATGTGAGGATCGCCGTCATCTGCCGGTGGCCGGAGTTGGAGAAAAAAAAAATGTTGTTTGTAATTTGCCGCATCGGAGTTGGAGAAGTGAGAGAAATCAAATCTGAAAATGGATGAGGGGAGGATGAGGGAGATGAAAAGTGAGAGAGGTTGGGGACTGCGTACCAACGTGAGAAAAGCCTGACAAAGAAAAAGTAAGCTAACAAAATAAAAAGGGTGTAAAATTGGCAAAAGATACGGACAAAATAACTGATGGCTCCTATTTAGGGAATCAATCGATCAGAACTCCTATTTTGTAATCGTATCTATGTTTTACTCCCTTTTAGGGTAATTACTTTTGAACCAACCTACAATTGTGATCAGACGCTATTAAAATGACAACTGGATAATAACCTGTGGTATGCAATTACTCCCTCCGTTCCTAAATAAACTTCCAACTTTCCTTTTTTGTCCGTTCCAATTAAAACTTCCACTTTCCCTATTTGATAAAGAATTTGTGGTTCACAACATTTCTTACACATTTTTCTCTCCTCTGCACAACTCTCCACCACACAATATCCATTATCTTAAATTTTGTGCCAAACCCATTTGGAAGTTAAAATGGGAACGGAGGTAGTAATAAGGAACTTGGTGACTACACCGATGAAATGACAACTCATGGGAGACCCAATGAACCCAATGGTTTATAACTCAAAGTATACAACATTAACTTTGAAAGGACCACGAGCAGACTAAAACTAATTTTTAAAATTTTGAATTAATCGAGAAAGCAAAATTTTCAAATATTCTGTGGTTCATAATCCATGATGAAGATTTTTCAACTGGCACACGCTACCAAATTTTAAAAAAGAATCATTTAGTCCCATCTGGATCACACAATATTCAATATGTTGTACAAAGCATTAAATGTGCATTTATGTCCACAATGCTGAGTTACTCTATATAACCCGACCCGACCCTTTTTTGGCTGATTGTTTGGACGGGAATCTGGCTTGGATTTCTCCTGCTTTTGTATAGAGTAAGATAACGGTGGATTTGCTGTTTTTGACTTTTTTCTTACTAGTCAATACAAATTTAAAAAATGGTCAAATAAGCTTTTCTATTGATTTTTATCTGTTACTTTAGTTCCTGTATTAAAAAAAAGTATCCTATAGATACGTATACTTTTAAAATACAATCAACCAAACCTTTTAACCTTCTATAACAGGTTAATTTTTACTTTAATTAAATTAGGATTACTGATAAATCCTACAAAACTTCATATAAATTTGAATAAATAATCTAGTAATAATATAAAAATAGTATAAATATAAAAATATATAAAAAAATTTAAAAAATAAAGTAAAAAAGATAAATTATAAAACTGAAAAATAATGTGAAAATAAAAAAAGAAAAAAGAAAAACTTTAAAAACCTTTTAAATAGATGTCGAATATACAAATATTTTTAAAAATTAAAAAATTTAAATTGTGATATTCTTAAAATTTTCACAATTTTTAAAATATTTCTTCAATTTTTAAAAAATTTTAAGTATTAAAAATCTGCTATTACAGATCAAAAACTCATTAAATGTCAAATTGATCCAGTTTACGTAACCGATTCATTAGACCTACACACTCACATAAAATTTAACAATTACATGGGTGGAAGGCTAGGTAACTAGGTTACGTAAGGCGGAAAGGGTAATTTAAAAATTAAAAGAATTTATTCCCTTACTAATTCTACACCGTGCAAGGATGTGGGTCATGTGACTGATGGGCCAAAAAGTTAAGATTTTCAAACCTATACTGGGCTCTCGTGGAGGCACTAAGCTGAACCAGTGATGGAGAACGACAAAAACAATTTGGCCCATGCAGGTTTCGAACCTGCGACCTTCGCGTTATTAGCACGACGCTCTAACCAACTGAGCTAATAGGCCTGATGGCATATCATAACACTTAAGAGTTCTTCATATCTTTAGAGAAGCGAAAGAACATGAACATGCATATTTACCCCTCCTTTCAGACTTTCAGTTTAAGGAGGAATCTTGAATAGGTACGGCCGTACTGGTAGGACGGGTTCGATTTTTTATTTTTGCATTCAATTTTTACGTGCAAAATTTGAGACACTAGCCTATAATATTTAATTAATAAGAGAGGATGAGATATTTAGGGGCTGTTTGGTAATACTGAGATTGACTGAATCGGCTGATTCTGTTGAAATTTTTGAAATTCTGATTGAAGTGATTGGATTGGCTGATTCTGGTGATTTAAAATATTTTTTACTAATAAAATAAAGAAAAAATTGTATGAAAAATAGCCAAAATGATCCTCTACAGTAACTTCAGCAAATACAGTCAGGAAAGTAACTTCAATCTTACTTTTTTCTTATTATTACACAGCTTAGCGCGTGAAATCAAAATTTACGTGTTTGGTGAAAGAATCGGTTGATAAGCATGATAAGCCGAAAAACAGGATCACCAAACGGGATCTTAGAGTCGAAAGTTTTTTGAACAATGTGAGGTTGGATCAATTTTTGAGTGTGAGTTCATTTTGAATAAAGTTACCCCCTATGATTATTTAGAAATCGCCAACCATTCATAATGTTAAAATTCAAACATAACAGTGTAACAAAATTATACTCTCTCCTTCACACTATTCTCGGGGTGGATCTACAGTAGGAGAAGCTTCCCCCCTCTCAACCACACCCAATCCCTATATATAATTGTTTTTGAATATGTAAATAATACATATCTGATTAGGTTGTTTATATATAAAATCAATATCGTGTTAAGAAATATTAACTTATCAAGATGTTTTACTGCTAGAACGGTAGATTTAGTGGAATAGAGCGGGGACGCGGGTTCAATACCCAGTGTTGTCAACTTTTTGGTTTGTTTCATTGCCTCTAAAAAATTATTCCAACCTTTGTTTAATTTTGGATAGAGAAAACTCTCAAATAGGCCCTCCTACTTTGACCAATTTCTCAATTAAGCCCTCGCACTTTGTAATCACCCATTGGAGTCCCCGAACTAACCAAATCCACCCAATCAAGATTTTTTGCCGATGGAGTGCCGGTTAGCTCGTTTCACGCTGAGCTGGAATCCCTCGTGTCCCTCACTCACCGGGCAGTTAAGTTGACGTGGCTACTCCTTTTTAAAACTAATAACTTCAGTTAGTTAAATCTTTTCTCCTCAAACCTAATTTCTCCTCCCCTGCGAGTGGCTTATTGTGGTTCTACGATCCTTCGCAACTATGTCGTCTTCATCATCATCAATGGTTGTCAAAGAACGAAGCCGTACAATGGACTATGAGCCTGCTGTTTACTGTTGGTGCGGATTGAAAGCTCCTTTATGCGTTGGACGAGAGAGTGGGAGAAGTTTTTATGGTTGTCAAAAATGGAAGGTAGTATACCATTTGGCTATGTGGTTTAGAATTACAGTGTCTTGCCTTTTTAATTGCTTACATACGTTAAATGTGTACAAGTTGGTAGCTGCGGTTTTTTCTTATGGAAGGAAGACGGAGGTAGAAAAGAAATTGTCAGCACTGAAGAGAAGAAAGTCCAAACCAAATGTCGTGTGAATAGGTTGAATGCTTTAGGCACGCAAAGTCCCAACCAAATTCCCAGGCAACGTTTGACACATTTGGTTGTGGAAGGAGCTAGAATTATATGAGCTACTTGAGGAACAGGATAATACCTCATCATCATCATTTTCATTCAATCTGGCCATGGGATGGTTGTGGAAGGAGCTATCAGCTCGGTGCATTCCAAAGAGGCAAATCAGGGCCTCTTTCTTACTTTCAGATGAGCTGCCTTCATCACTTGTACTGCTTTGATCATCTTCTGATTGGATCATTGTGAGCTCATCCCAGATATCCTTGATTATCCAGTCATCAGACTTGTTCTTATTGAACAATAGATTCTTTGTATGCCGCCTGTCCATTCTTAGAAAGTGTTTGAGAAGAATAGTGGTTTGGGATCTTTAGTTCAAATTAGTCCGAAACTGACTCTAGGAACACTCCGCTCTGATAGCACTGATGGTCCCGGATAGAGGTAAAAGTCTAGAGGGGGCGGGGGGTGAATAGACTTTTAAAGCTTTTTCAACTTTAAAACTTTTCCCTTCTAGATGAGTTGATCTATAATCTTTTGGGAGATTTCTAGATGCACAGCGGAAGTCTTTAACCTCTTAGATAAATGGTGTATAACAACTTTCTATGATGGATGAAGTTAGGGCTTTATTGGGTGAGCAGTTGGCTAGGCAGTTGGCTAGAAAGCAGGGAACTGCTGAGGCAACTGCTAACGAAATACTCAGTGTATGATGAAGGTGCACTCAGAATCTTTACTCAGAGTAAGAAGATCTGTCTGATGATATGACAAGGTGGGTTGATAATCAGTTTTAATGCGAGCAGTGGTCTCAGTAGTTGGGTGGTAACCAGGGAACTGCTGAGGCACCTGCTGAAGAAAAAGTGAAGGTATGTAAGGTTTGATTATATGGTGTGGCTCAGGATAATGTGGGCTTTCTGAAGATGAGCATTAGTCCGAGTAAGTAGGAGTTTTACTGGAGCAGTGGTCTCAACAGTTGGGTGAAAGTAAGGGAACTGTTGATGCAACTGCTGGGTTATCACTTTGAACCACAGTGATTAGTTTGAACAGACTTCTTGGAGATAGAGTTGTGAAGGTCTGGTGAAGTGGAGATGTTCCAAGGAAACACTTTTTGCGTGAGCAGTGGGCTTAGCAGTTGGGTAGTCCCCTAGGGAACAGCTGAAGCAACTGCTATGCTTTAAGTAGGATTTCCTGAAATATGATGGAACAGACCTTATAGTTGTGATATCTTGTATCTCTTGTATCTCAAAGAAAGTTAGTTATTAAGCAGTAGGATAAGCAGTATGGTCAGTTAAGACTACTGCTTAGGATTCTGCTGGTAAACTACAATCTTTTATGAGAAGTGTTCAGTGTGTGCTTTGTTGACTGAAAATTAATCAACACACAGTATATCCTGGTTCAGAGGTGGTGTAATCCTCCTACATCCAGTCCCACCCTCTTTCAGATGGATTTCACTAATGTATTAAGCCCAATACACTTAGTGCCAATCTAGCCTTGACAACTCTGGCCTAGATTGAAGGTGTTTCACGAGGAGTACAACACTACTCCAAGCTACTCAATCCTTTAGGTTTTTCTCAATTGATCCAATGGGGATCAAAAGGTACTCCTGACCTATCTAACCACACTCAGGCCG